TCTAAATTTGAGATTATTGGGTAAGTACTTATAACGCAAAAATTGATCAATTTTTAACCCTGGGTCCTATAACTGATGCATTTTTGGGAAGCTTGCAGAGAGGCTTTCAAAAGCGTACCACTTATGGTCAGAAAAATGACTGTAATGGAGAATGAGATAGTGGCTTTAAAGGAAAAGGTTCTTGCCTTAGAGAAAGAGAAAACAGTTATTAGCGAGGGTTCTACTGAATCCATGCTATATGAAATAAACCAAAGAATGATTCGATCCCAAAACTTAATGGTGTATAATGTGCCTGAGCTAAATTGACAATCATTGGAGGAGCGAATAGACTATGATAAAGCTAAGATCAGTGAAGTATTCAACAAGCTTGGTTTGCAGAATAATGTAGCCTTAAAGGTGGTGCGGGTGGGGCAAAGGGTTTTAAATAACACTAAAGCTAGACCTATAAAGGTCATATGCAATAGTCAGGAGACAGTTAAACTGGCTTTAAAGTCTGGAAATAAGCTACGCGGATCTACAGTAAGAATATCTAATGACCAGACTAAAATGCAACAGGATGCGTACACCAAAGCAAAATCATTACTTGAAAGTAGAAAGACAGCTGGCGAAGATAATCTTGTTCTAAAGTATCGTAATGGCTTACCTGTTGTGGAAACGAAACAACCAAAACAACAAAAAAACCTGCCTCTACCCCATTAACTATTTATTTTCAAAATGTGGGAGGTCTACGGACCAAATTAGTAGATTTGTTGAAATCTGTAGCAAGTTGCGCCTATGACATAATAGTTTTGGTTGAAAGTAATTTAAATGATCACTTCAGTGATGGTGAAATTAAATTTGAAGAGTTTTGTGTCTATAGAAGTGATCGTAATTCTTTCACAAGCAAGAAGTTAAGTGGTGGAGGTGTTTTGATATTGATTAAAAAAAGTATTAAATCACTGTGCATCAAAATTGAGGAAAATCGAGTAGAGCAGATTTTTGTTCTGTGCGAGATTAATAAATTCAGGTTTATATTGGGTGGTGTATACATCCCTCCACAATCATCAAGGAATGTTTATGACTGGCATTGTGAAGCGGTAGAGAATGTTTGGCAGCGGCATTCTGCAGGAAATATCTATATCTTGGGCGATTATAACTTACCTAATGCTGCGTGGACTAATGATGAATTTGGAGCAATTGTGCAATGCCCTCAGGGCGACCCAGCCCTTCAAGTGGCTCAGGTGTTTGGTTATCTTAGACTTTTCCAAATGAATGGCATTCCAAATGATAGAAATGTATTTTTAGATTTAGTTTTTTCTAATAGTAAAGAGGTTGTTGTCACACATGCCTCTGAGCTGCTTTTAAATGACAGTCATCATCATATTGGGTATGAGTGTGTATTATCGGTGTCCAATACAAAAAAAAGTACCAATTTAACTTATGAAGAATTTTATTACGACTTTAGAAATGCAAACTATAGGGAACTTAATAATTATTTAGCTTCTATTAATTGTCAAGAATATTTAAATATAAGCAATGATGTAAATGCCATAATAAATATTTTTTATGAGATTTTGGCCACTAGTATTGCATATTTTGTCCCAGTAAAAAAATTTAAAACTTCTACATTTCCCAAATGGTTTTCTTCTGATCTTAGAAAATTGACTTGCCAGAAGAGACGTGCACACTCTTTTTACATTAGTAACCGCTCAGATGATAATTATGCAAAGTTTTCAGATTTGCGTGTCAAGTGTAAGAGGCTCTCTAATATTTGTTTCTCTAATTACACGCGGGGTTTTGATGAGAGACTGAAAGTTGATCCAAAATTATTTTGGAAATTTATCAATGATAAGCGTTCCACTTATTGTCTTCCAAGCTCACTCTTTTATGGGGGGGAGAGGGCTTCAAATGGGCAGGATGTAGCCAATTTATTTGGGAAATTTTTTCAGACTGTATATGTAGCTAACCAGAACTCTCCAGTACTACCTGATTTAACATTAGATAATAACGTAAGTAGCAATATTAAGTGCTCAGAAATAAGTAAGTCTGATATTTTCGATCAGATATGCAGTCTTCCCAATAAACTTACATCAGGGCCGGACGGAGTGCCTGATTTCCTCTTGAAAGAGTGTGTATGCACTATAGTTTTACCATTGTATATCCTTTTTAATAGATCCTTGATTAGTGCTGTGTTCCCGAATGAATGGAAAAAGAGCTATGTTGTTCCTATTTTTAAAAGTAGTCAAAGAGAAAATATTGAAAATTATCGTAGTGTTTGTATTCCATCCGCAATACCAAAGCTCTTTGACTGTCTTGTTGGCAAGCAACTGAGCTGGATGTGTAAAGGTTTAATTTCTGTGGAGCAGCATGGCTTTTGTCAAAATAAATCCACATTGACGAACTTGGTAGGTTACCAGACAAGCATTTTGCATCATATGGAGGGGCAGAAACAAGTAGACTCTATATATACAGACTTTGCTAAGGCCTTCGATAGGGTGGATCACCGGATACTCTTGCAGAAGTTAACCAAGATTGGTTTTCATTCTCATTTTGTTATGTGGATCCAGAGCTCACTGACTGATCGTATCCAACATGCTAAAGTAGGTTGTTATTTTTCTGAGTCAATCTCTGTTACATCGGGTGTCCCGCAGGGCGGCCACTGTTCTCCTCTTCTCTTTAATATTTTTGTTAATGACATAACTAATTGTTTTATAAACAGTGAGTGTGCAAAATTTGCAGATGATTTGAAATTTTGGAGAACGGTGGAGAGCATTGTGGACCAGTTGCTTCTGCAGGAGGATCTGGATCGCTTGTCCGTGTGGTGTGTAGAAAATAAGTTATCTCTGAATGTGGATAAATGTTGCTATATTAGTTTTTCAAGGAAAGTAAATAAAATTCAAACTAGTTACTTTATTAACAATCAGTCTCTGAAGGTGTGTCTAGAGTGAAAGATTTGGGTGTTATTTTAGACGAGAGATTATCTTTTATTGATCACATAAATTCGGTTGCAGTAAGGACTTCGAAGATGTTGGGTTTCGTCGTGAGAAACTGTCAATGCTTCTCTGTGGAGGCTACCAGGGTTGTCTACTGCTCCTTGGTAAGGGCAACATTGGAATATTGCTCTGTGGTGTGGTCACCATATTTTCAGATTCATATGGATTCCTTGGAGAGGGTGCAACATAAATTTCTTAGAGTGTGTGTGTTTAAAAATGGCTTTGCTATGGCTGACCACGACTATAGAGCAATGGAACAACAATTGTCATTGAGTCCTCTGGGCCTTCGTAGAGATAGTTTTGGTGTAGCATTTATATACAAATTAGTACATGGGTTAATTGACTGTCCAAGTCTCCTTTCTTCAGTTAGTTTTAATGTACCCACTAGGGGACTGCGGCAACACCCAACATTTCTCATACCTTTTCATCGAACAACATATGGTGAAAATAATCCTATTGACAGATATATGTCATTAATTAATAACTTAAATATTGATATATTTGATATGACCCTAGGTCAATTAAAAACGTACCTGAAGAATATGTGATATTTTTTGTATAACAGGGTCAATTCTGGTTTGTGTATTATTTGTTGTACCTAATTCTATTTTATGTTTCCATATGTTAACTACTCATTATCAAGATCAAGATATTTTTCATAATACCTACATACTTTTACTAATACCTACTTACTTAAAAGATGATTTTTGGCTGTACTTGATTTGTTTCATTTATTGTGTAGTATTAATTTTTATAGTTAAATAATATTTATTATTTATGTAGTTATAGTTATAATATAGTACCTAACTTATGCTTTATTCTTTATATTTCTATCAATACAATTTTTCATCACCTCTTTTTATTGATTCGATATAAAGTGTTTTACCAACAATAATTGATTTTATTTCCTACTGAACTATTATAACCATATAATACCTTGATTACGATAATCATAAACAGGGAGTTAAGGATTTCATAACTCCCGCTTTTAACTTGAATAGGTGAAACTTTGAGAAAAAATAGAAATTTTGGTTTATAGTTTATTCCTTTATAAAAATGGGCAAAATACAGTAAATTCAGTAGGAAATAAAACTATCTATGTACCACGGGAATTATCAGGTGTTAATACATTGGTGTTCCTCGGGCCTAAGGCCCTCGGGACACAAACTTTGCTCTGGGGTATTAACGCCCTCATAATTCCCTTGATACATAAATAACTATTATATACTTTGAAATTATTCAATACTTGATTTTTGATCACACTAATTTAATTAGAAACTTACACAGGTAATTATTTTATTGGTTTACCTATGTCAGGATTTGGTTGAGTTATACGCCCTATTTATTTCCTTTTCAGAATTATCAATTACCGTTTGCTGATTATTATTTTTTAGGTGTGTTTCTGGATTTTCACCCTTCCATATTTAATGCAATGTTATTATTATTATTATTTTTTTTAATCCTGTGGCCCCCTTGCCATTCTGTACTATCAACTTACCCCTAATAATTATTCGCTGAGCAAACCGAGCATATTATGGGCCTCTTGTTAATTCATTAAAAAAGGGGTTACAAAGTGATTAAAGATGATAAAAGAAGATGGTCGAGGGTCCGCTTTTCTGTCCTTCAGCAATTCACTTTAACTCTGATGAACTCGCCCCAATTTTCAATGATCTCAATAGAAGCTAACACTGAAACTAATTCTATTTGGGCACATGAGTGGAACAACCTCGGTACTTGTGCCTCAGTTATGCCTCAATTAGACAGTTCCTGACTATTCTGAAATGGGCTTACAACTTAACAGATATGATTTATCCAAAATATTGTCCAAAGGTTGATTTCTGCCCGGCACTAACGGGTACGATATCAGTTTTATTCCTATTACAAACATTATTTATGAAGTAACAAATATTTAATTAATAATAAACCGACTTCATCCTGAAGAATCCCTTCAAAAACTTTTGAAAAAATAACAACCAACTAAAAATATAATATTTCTCAATTTAATCGTTCAAAAATGGGAAGACTTACCCAATCCTCCTCCTTGATCGCTCGTGTAAAACTCCCCGCCCATACCTCTCCGAATACAAGAAACCCCGGCAGAATTTTCCTCCTGGTGACGGACATCTTCTCCGTCGCCCGATCTTCTGCACCCTATGCTCTCAGTACCGTTGATTAGGTCCGGATTCTGTTCGAGCTGGTACCTAGAAAAAATATTTCTCTTTTAGCGTTTTCAACGTGAGCCACTTGATGCCACAAATCTTCTCTAACCCTAATACATTTTTGGTTTTAGGAACTTTTTCTAAGCTTCAAAGTTTCTAAGAAACTTTGTGGCTAAAAAGTTTTGCTTTGGTTCAAGATTAGAGCTTATATCTGGTTTAAAGAACAAAAGAAGTTTTATGTTTTAACAAAAAAGCGACGCTAAGTAAGGATTTCAGGGAAGTTTTTGGCGAATTAGTTTATTATCTTATCTTTTGGCAATAAATCGTAATAGGTGACCAATTTATAAATCTATAGATTGTATAAACGGAAGCAGCAATACGCCCTGAGCACTTGAAAGTCTTCGTATCTATAATTTTAACAGAAATTGGAACGTGGAATTTTGTAAATGGATATTGAATATCCGCGGCTCACATTCCATATAAATACTTGCTAACCCAGTTTTTAAAATAAGTTTTAGTGTAATTTTCAATAAATTATGATTCAATGACCTAAGAACGATGAGCGGCTTCGATTAGAAGATACGAAAAAAAAATTAAAAGTTAATCGCAAGTTGCCTTTTGCCAAAAAGTTAGACGTACGGCAATGGAAAAAAGTATGTCACTACTCACTGTCTACGTCAAGTAACATGACTATTTTTGAAAATGTTGTTGCATAAAATTACTATTGAGAGTATTTACCTTCTCAAAGACAGGGGACTCACTGCCTGACTTCTCAAATTAATTCGCAATGGCGACATTGTGCTGGCAAACTGTTCGTCGCAGGTCCTTATCCCAAAAAAACAAATCTCCTCAGGCTCTGCAGTACAAGTTGTTGTCTGAGTGGTAGGGGTGAGGTTCTGCTTTAGATGTTGATCCAGAGGCGAGGATGAGAACGATTTTGCTGCTGAAAAAAATGGATCGAAACCAATTAATCAATTTTTTGAGTTTTCAATCATAATGCACTTACCCCAACTATCCTTGTCATCTTCGCCACCTCCCGCTGTCTGCTGCAAATGCAACGATACCTCCTTCGTCTGATTCCGTTTCAAAAGCCTACTCTTCCTATGGCACTTGATTACACACCCGATAATCACTATAACCAACAAGATAACTACAACGGACATTCCAACCACCGCACACAGCAAGTATTCTACAGAAAACGACACTATAATCACTATGGGCTCTTCTTTGAGGACAATTTTCAGGGTGAAATTCGATTGAGCGCTTCCGGCAGCATTTTCAGCGTGACAGACGTAGGTGCCGTTGTCTTCCGAGTTGGCGTTATAGATGAAGAGCTCGCTTTGTTTATTTTCCGAACCTTCTTCGACGAAATAGACCAAGCGCATTCCTGGGGTGATGTTAGTGTTGTTTTGGAGGAGCTGACCGTCAAACCACCAGGAAACCTGGAAAAAAAAAACTTTTCTGTGAGCATCAAACATGGTGAGATGCTTTTAAAATTAATGACGCCACTGGTACTATTTCTGAATCTGAAAAAATAACGATTACAGTTACGTATTAGAAAAAGGGGGATTTCATTCATAGAAAATAATTTGAGAGTTGTTGTAGATCATGTTTGAAAGATGTTAAAAAGAAGATGTCCAGCAACTTTTTGAAATAAATACTTTCTGTATTATTGCATTTTTAACTTTAAGATTCTATTTTTTTGTTAAGGTATCCTTAGTGTATTTACTGGTATTTTGAATTTTGTCAAATATAAGTATGGTATGTGCGTAAAATGTGTGACTTCAAAAAAAATATATTAAAGTGCTATCATCATCATCAGAGGCGCTCAGTTGATACAGAGTATCTTCTATTTTATTTTTATTATTGTCGATTGTGCGTTTTCTAATGGGTATGTAAACCAATTCTGGAGCGGCACACTCTTCCACAGTCTTGTCTCACCCAGCCTTGGACAGCATTGTCTCTTCCGCTGTTCTCTCGCTCCTTCCTGCGGTCCTTCTTTTCGGTCTGCGCCGCTGTCCTTCAAAAGTTTGTGGTTCGTCGTGAACTACTCGACACCATGAGGGCCTATTGTTTGCCATCGTCTCCCAGTTGCTGGTATTGATGCACTTTGCCATATTTTCCTTAAGAACATCTTTGTAGCGTTTTTGTTGACCTTCTTGATTTCGTTTTCCTTGTGTTTAGACATGCGGACGAAGTAACCGCCGTGACCGGTCCAGCAAAATTGTTGCTTGATGATGAGGGAATACTTATGTTGGTTCGTCGGTCTTGCCATTTAATCCGTAGGATCCTTCTTAGGTATCGCTGGTGGTATTTTTCTAGGCTTTCTATGTGTCTTCTGTAGGTGGTCATATGTAAAAGCTAGTATTATAACTGCATTTTAGACGTTTGCTCTCAGCGCTCATGTCGTGACTGTTGGGACTCTCTTCAGAAATTGCCTGAACGCTGCGCTAGCACACTTCGAGGGATTTTGGATTTCAGAGACTGTCGCTGTCGGGTATGAGTAGTGTTTTACGTTCTTCAAAGAATGGTCAATTATAGTTATATTTGGGGCTTGGTGATTATTAGTATTAGTGAACGGTGCGAGTTGGTGCAGAATCTTTGAAGATGACCTCTAGGCCAATTCTCGTGTATGCTTGGTTGAATATATTGATAATTGCCTGAAGATCTTCTTCTGTATTGGCCATAATGGCGTTATTATCCGCATATTGAAGTTCGATTATCGATGTCATGGAACTCTAATATTCCCACAGTTTGATTAGGTTTTTCTGGGTTTTTCCCGAGCAGCAAATGCTGGACCGTTATTGTAATTTTCCCCAGAAGTCAGAAAAGACACACATAAGGAAAGCAGGCCTTTTTATGTTATACTAGGTTTAAGTTGTATTACCTACTGTAGTCTAATTGATCAATTTTTTAAGGTGGCATGTTGGATAAACTGATATTCATATCAGTGAACCAAAAATTAATAAATTAAACTTTAATTATTAGTCTATAATTTGCTAATTTATATTGCAGCTATGGATGACTGAATGTGTTTATAATAGTTTTTATATGTAAGATAAACAGATGAAGACTTGTTTACTTAAGACAGGGTTTGTAGTTCTTTGTCTTTTGATGTTGAGTCATCTCCTATAGTTAGTACCATGAGTTCACACGCTCTGCTTTCCATGCTGTGTTCGATAAAATAAATATATTGAGAATCGATAATTAACAAGTTCTTTTATTTCTTAGTCTATTTCCCAATAGTTTCCACATAAAGCCTTGCCTCCCCTTTTGAAAATGACAACTATGGAGGCATTTCTAAGTTCGGCAGATATGGTCTCAGTAATCCATGTTTTACTTATTAGGATGTGGGTTTGAGCACTAAGTGTGGGGCCTAGGGCATCCTTGTCTAAAGAATTCAGCAGGAATGCCGTCAGTACCCAGCTGACTTATTGATCCTTAGTTGTCTAATCTGGGAGCGTCGCTTAGTTCTTGTTGTATTGGTTTCTGTAAAATTTCGTTTAAGATATTATTAATTTGTGATTTTTTATTAAGTAGTTCCTGAAAGTGTTCCTTCCGACGAAAATTAATGGAAGAACCGTCTTCAAGCTGTCAACTTTGGATCGTAAGGGATTGAGTCCTTGAGTAGTTGGTACGTATATTATCTCAGCAGCCTGAAAAAAGGCCCTGATGCTGTTGGATTCAGCTAGTTGATTAAAGCTCAGAGTTCTATAATGGGTATATAGCAAAGTTTGATTACTAGTAATGCCAGAGGTCTTGTCAGTCACTATAAAAGCTCTTCAAGTTTGAAAAAACTTCCGAACACCCAGAAAAGAAGATTTTATCGCTTGAAAATACAATATTATTGTTAAATATTCTTTGAGTGCGTACAATTAGCTAAAAGTCTAAGTAGAGTCCGCGTCAGCAGTAAAGACTACGGTGACGACATAAAAAGCTGCGGGAAGCGGGTCGGATCTCTCTCCCTCGTCTATCTCTCGCTGTCTGCCGTGACCTCGGCCGTGAGCTGAAACCAGCAGCGGGGTATCTTTTTAGACAAAACTTGGATAGAAAATAAACTAAATAAATATGCCTGCTGGCCGTACGACAATGAACCACGTGCTTGGCGTTCGGCAACAGCACCGATCGATACGATAGTTCGGTTAGTCTTCAAAATTGGGTTTGTGCGCATATGACGACACCGTACTCTTTACTCTTGACGCGGACTCTACAAACGATAAAAAATTCTGAAATTAGAAGCACATATTAAAATTCGAGGCACCTTAGCATGATATTTCTAAATTTATTATTCAAACTAAATCAGTCAGAATTAACAAATTCCAACCGATACTAAACGAATCACCTATCCGAACACCACAAAAAAAAATTCGACTCTTCCAGCCTAGAAGGCGAAGCTAACGTTATAAAAATTAATGAAGTTTCTCGTTTTGGGTTCGTTTGCTACTCTCCAGAAAACCTAACCTAATAACCGGGAAGGAGGAAATCCATAATGCATGATTTTTTGCGGCGTTGCTTTCCTACAATTAGTTATGCCATATTTTTGCATTTCCTATTGCCTGTGTCGGATTGTCTGATTTTTGTTTGGTTAATATTTATAGATACGTCTAAAAGGTTTTGTATGATGATAAGCTTCAATATAGGTAGGTGGTTTTTTTGTGAATTGCGCATTTTATTCTGGATTATTTTGTAGTTTTTAAAGCAATTTTAATGCATACGAAAGGATTTTCATGACTACTTGTTTCAATTGGATGGACAAACTTATCGTATGAGTATTTAGCAGTGTGGTGGAGCTTTGGTTAAACACTTGATATTTCTCAACAATTTCAGGTAGACAAATAAAATCTCAAAGGACGTTTTTTTGAAAATTTACCGTTTTGGTAGAAGGGAAGCAAACACGATAATATATCAGGATTTTATTTGCGAGATGTCAAAAAAAAACAGTTATAATCTCTCTTCTTGTGGGCAAAGCAGAACGAGAAAAAATTGAAAAAAGTATCACGGTCTTAAAGCTTATTGAATTAATTTTTTTATTTCCTGGATGCCATGTTTTTTGAGGCAATAATTTCAAGAATTATTGAAAAAAAAATTAAAATGTGTCAATCAGCTCCCCATTTTTTTTAATATAATCCAATATATTTGGTTGCCTTTCCGACTTTTAATCCAACGGAGAAGTTTTATTAAAAAAAAAATTCGGCAAATTGTCTCCATAAAATATTTAGGCAACGACAATAAAATCCCGGGGAAAACGAAAAAGTATCATAATATTAGGCCCGGTTTTGGCAAGCTCTTTAAGTATTAATAAAATTTGCGCTTTGGTTGCGCCTTATTTTGGAATTTCGTTGAGCATCGAATCGGGGTTGCAATTATTGGACTTTTTGTGGATGAGCCTGGAAGTTAATTGGATTTCTTTAGTGCTTTTTTATTATTAAAATTTACTCTCATTCTGTATCACAGGTCTGGTAGAATGGGATAATTGAAACACAAGTTATCTGGTATTTTGAACGAATACGCACATCTTTCGGGAAATGAGTTGCAATCCCAGACTAATAATAAAAGTAGAGACCAAATATGCCATTTAGAAATCGCCCAGTGTTTACAATCGATCATCTTTTTGTTCATGACATAAGTAAGAGTGAGATAGGCCTATAAAATGGCAACACTGTTAAGTGGCGGCGTATTCAGTTTCCTCTGAATTTTTTCCAGAATTCAATAGAAGTTTTACTCACAATAAAGTACCACAAATGTCCTCTAACTATGCCAATGCCAAGAGTAAAATGATGTCAAATTTCTTACCGCCGAAATATTAAAATGTACTTGGAATCATTACAAATAATACATCGACGTATCATTTTAACGTTCTCTACCACACTTTCCACAGTTTTAAATCCAAAAATACCATTATTAACACCCAAAATCACAAAATTAGCTCTATCACTTCACAGCAACATTGCCAAATCCGTTATGGATGACATATGTCACATAAGATCATCTGATTGGCTGCTTGTAGATAGATGCAACGTTGCCGATGTGCCATTTTTCTAGCAACATATTCCTGTGTTATTCTGTAACTTTCACCAATTTAAATTTTAAAAAAAGACTAACTATCCTATTCAAAAAGACATTAAAGTTATGCTTCAACAAAGATTGATATAAAAAAGCATTTACATTATGTTAAAACATATTTTGAAATAATAATTATCCGTGAAGCCATTAAATATTGAAAATCACATCAGATTATTGGCAACCAGGCATTTAATGCAAAAATCGACCTTATGGATATTGGATGGCAAATTATTTGTTTACTGTTGTATCTGTCGTTTTTAGTTGTTAATCTGTGGTTCCAGTAATATTTTGACAATATATTTTGGATCCATAAATTAAATCTTTAGGAAAATAATGAATTGATCGGGGTAAAGAAAACCTGAATTGGCTATTAAATAAA